CCCCACCTGCAGGAGCACTGCTCCTGTGCTGCCTGGTGACATCCCTGGCAAAATGGGGGAAACCACGTATACAATCCACCTGATGCTCCCCTCATCTTCCCTCCTAATTCCGAGGCACGGAGTGATGAATGACTCATTTGAGTCATCAAAACGGTTTTGGTATCTTCTCCAGGATCTCTGGCATTTGAAGCATCACACACCCAACCAGGGGTTCCTGTGAGCAGGTGCTGCAGCCTAAAATGTGTTAATCAGTGGAGGCTTGCAGAAGCGATGAGCTACACCTAGAGACAAATCTTTAATAATGAACCCAGAAAGGTTGTTCGAAGGGCACGAACACAGCTTATATGATGGAAAGAAAAACGGCTCGTCCCTGCCCCTGACAGTGTCTCTTGACATTACCAATGTTCTCCTGAAAATCTATTTATGCAGCAAATTTTCTAGCCCTCACTCACTGATTAAACACACCGCTGCTCACCTGAACTGCAGCTTTTGTTTGCTGAGACTCGCTAGAATCTGTTATAAGGCTTACCGTGAAGGGACGAGCTGGAGAGGACACGACAGGAGTATCTCTGTGAAAGCAGGACATTGAAGTCACTGGTTTGCGTTGTTAGTTCTGACATGCAGGATTTTAAAGTGTTTTCACTGGTTCACTGATGAGGTTTTTCGTTCCTACCTCAGCCCCTGGCTGTTTAGTGTCGGGTACATCAGCAAAGCAAGATGATCCTCTCTGAGTGGTTAATTCTTTTGCCTCAGTGGTAGATTCCTGCACTCATAAGGGAAATAGAATTATTTCAGTAATAAAAGAGATACTGGGTTTTTTCTGCACGATTAATTCCCATCATCTGAGGCTGACCTCTTCCTTTTACCTGTCTTGCCATAAGTTTCCTTATTTCCCGCTGACAGCATTTTTCTGCCCAAGATAGGTATCTTCTTCTGGTTTGGTTTGGTTTTGTTTTTCTTTTCTGTTTGATGTGTGAGCATTGTCTGACACTCTGAAGAATTTCCTGGGTTTTTGTCATCTGACTGTAGCTTATCTGTTATGTGTCACAGGATGAGAGATGCTCTTCAGTAAGGACCATGGGGTGTTTTGGAGAGGGAGTTTGAACAGTGCCTAAGCCCTGGCAGATTAGGTAACAGCAGTGCTAATACTGAACATCAGTGACTGGGGTCCTCATCACAGACTCTTTGTCCAATATAATATAAAATAAAAAAATCAAGGTCTCTGTGACAGTGTTTTCTATGGGAAGTAACTTCCTATACAGTTACAGAGATGTGAAGGTACTTTATTGTCTGAGTGCAACTCATGCATTTTTGAACAAGTATGCTGAGAAAAAAAAAATCTCACTCTGTCATGAGAGCTGTAAAGTGCTTTCCCACAACGCATACACATGATAAGCCATGAGAAAGAGCTGTCACTCATCAAATTAGACAGCAATGTGGAAAAGTTATCTTTCAATGTAGTATCCACAGTGGTCTCTCAAACATTCTCTTTATTTCTATGTGTAAAACAGTTCCTTTGGGCCTTCCAATTCCCACCGAAGGCTTTGAGAGATCTTTTCCATATTCTAGACAAATATTCATCTCACTCCTTTAATCCCCTGTAGCACAGAACAGTGGCTTTTGGAGATGTCAATACCTTCTTGTGTCTTTCAGTGTCTCTCAAAAATGCCACTTTGGCAGCTTCATTATTTGAGCTGGCTCTTCAGATTGATGTGTGATTTTTATTTCTTTTAGCCCCTTTTTTTTTTTTTTTTTTTTTTAAATTTTTTTTTTTTTTAAACTTAAAAAAATGTGTAACTGATAGGCTGGAGGGAAGTCAAATTTTCTTCCTAAATCACAGAGGTGTGCACGATATCTAAGGAAAAAACACTACCGTTCACTGCAGGCCCTGTGCCATGGGACCAGAAAAGCTCCCACTGCAGTTTCTAAATGCAGAAGCACTGGAAAACATTTTGCTTGAGCTCCCAGATCCTGATGCATTACCTTTGTCAGCTTGGAGGGGACTGGCTGCCCATGAGATAAAGCACTTAGTGCTTTTCCAAGTCTCTCTCTGGACCCACGCAATCCCTCCCGTTGCCAGTGTTTCCATTTCAGTCAGCAATAGCTTGCCCTTCTGCACAGCCCAGGCCACACCAATCTTGTTGCACCACTTTCTGCCTTTCTCTTCTCTGGGATGCAGCACAGCAGCAGCCACAGTTTGCCCCTAAAAGCCTCCGAGCCTCTTTCTCCAGTGCTGAAGAAAGGGAAATAGCATTTAATGGGAACTTTGAAAAAGCATTGCAGCACTTAGGCCTCTGAAATTCAATATACTGTATCACCATCTTTCATTACACTTTGAAGCATTCTGCTTTGGAGCTTTTGTCTCAAGCTCTGTTCTTTTCTGTGCCTCTGACACTAAGCAAAGCATTAGTGTAATCTTTAACTTGGTGTCAGCGCCCATTCTCAGAGAAGAGAAAGTTAAATGCCTCTGTAATGTCTCTGATGAGATCTAAGATCAATTCCTGAAATTCTGACAGAGAGAGGATTGGCATTGTCCAAGGATCACTGTGTATTTCATTAATAACTAATGGAGCCAACATAATGAAAAACTTTACTGCTTGCTGTAAGCAAATAACAGATCAAAACTCATTCACGCTCTTATCTTTCTTATCCTGGTCTTATTTTTCTCTCATTTTTGTAATAATCAGAGTAAGATGAACACCATCAAGGCTCTGTGGCACGCTGCCAATCATTATTGCCCTGTACAAAATAAATTGTTCCAATGAACTGGGTTTTATGGCAATTCCTTCCCAATTTTCCTATATTTTTATTTTCATTGTAGCTGTTCCCAGACAGAGTGAAAAAACCGAACAGATTAAAATGTCTGATGAATTCTCTGAAATGCCAACCAGCAAAAGTCTTTGACTGTCTCATTGCCAAGGACAACTGAATTTCTTTGTCTGAATCAATTCTCTTAATGCGATGAACAATTACAAGAGCAGGAGGAAGCCTGGCTGTTGCTTTGGCCCTTCATCTCACAAGTCTGCACATCTACCAGTGTAATTTTCCTTTTCATGAGTTGCTACAATGGTTGTAGAATTCATCATATCTGAAAATAAAATTTACAAAGGGAATCAATTCTCTGTCTAGCATCCTTCCATTTCATCTTTCTGTCCATTTGCCAGAAAGATAATAAGCCCTAGCAGCATTAGCACAGACACAACCACTGGGCATCAGGAAATGCCTCCTTGCAATGCTGCTGTCATCGCCTTAACCTTAAATGCCCCGAAGGGCTAGGACTGATGATTTCTAGATTAACTTTTTTCGAAAGCTTGTTCTTTTTGAAAGCAGCTTAAAAGAAAGCATATTAAAATGTTAATATTTCCAGGAAAAAATTCTAAAGACAAAAGAGCTTAAAGGTGCCTATCAAATTTCTTCACTCTGATTGATTTAGTCAGTGGAAGGGGTAAAGTCTTATTTTCTGATTTTTTTTTTTTTTTTTTTTTTTTTTTTTTTTTTTCTAATTCATCTGAAGAAGCACATTTTAAATAGCTGCTAATGTGCTGTTAAAGAAGAAAACACTTCCACGGCAATCCTAATTACTGTGCAACTGTATTTCATTCTGTGCTAGCAGTGAACTGATCATTTAAACTCACAGTTCTGTTACTATGCAAACGTCTAGAAAAGAGTACATTAAATTCCCAGTTTGATCACCGTTTCATAGATAGGGAAAATTAACCCACAGCTAGAATTTTCTCTACTTTCGAATCCCAAGGAAACTACAGACTGCGGCTGAAATCCCCCCAGCTGGTTGCAGTTTAAGGGGCTGGAGCAGGGAAATGGGGCAGCTGCCAGATCGGAGCCATGTCCACCCTGCCAGGCAGGGGCAACCGTGGCCACAAAGCCCCTAGTAGCCCCCTCTTCCCTCCTCTCTTTCTCTCTCTACCTCCATCTTCCCTCTCACCTCCAGAAGGTTCTGCTTTTTGAAATAGTGGAGGGTTTCATATTTCCCTCCTAAGACCATTTATTCAGCCACAAAACTCATAAACGAAACACTCGGTTCTGCTAATGCAATCAGCTACATTAGCAACGTGTTTATTTTTCATCTTTCCTTTCTGCTATTTTGCCTTTTAATTATCTTCTTTGTGATTAAAGATAGTCACATTCTAAATTCAATCACCTTGAAAAACAATATGAAATAAAGAAGTTTAATATTTTATTATAAAACTCTTCTGTGGGATCCAGCGATGCTGTAATTTTACCATTAAGAAATTGCCCTTTTCAGTTGTCTGCTGCTCGCCTTTTCTTTTTCCTCTCAACAATAAACTGAAGAGTCGTCTCAGTTACAGGATACAAAACATGTACTTTCTGTACCAGAGCACCACAGCTTTTCCTTCTGCTTTTAAATTTGTCTTTTTGTCCGATCAGTAAAGAATGAGCTGTCATTTTTTGAAAGGTACTCTGAGAGAAAGTATTTAAAGTAGCAAAATACCAGCCAGACCTCTTGTAATTTACAGGAGAAGGGGAACCATGGAGAATGGTTCACTTTGGGTCCATATGCAGTGAATAGAACAATATAATATTACTGCTGTCTTGAGCTACTATTTCAATAGCCTAGGTCTTTAGCAAGTTATCAGAAGTTTTTTTCAGCTTGACATCAAAGTGCCCCTCAGTTCCTGTTCTGAATCCCAACCTAAAATGTCTTACCTCAAGAGGTAACTTGCCCACAGAGGCACTTTGTGAGTGCTGGCCACTGATGGATGTTGGCCTTCGGCCTAGATGAGCTCTTGTCTAACAAAACTTTTATCTAGAGAAGACAAGTGGAACTGAAACGCATTCTGCAAGTACTTGGGGATTTGGGGTGACTTGTTTGCAGTTTTCTCTTTGTGACACCATAAGCTGTGTTGGACAACAAAGACGTGCCCTGTCTTGTTCCACTGGCAGGTTCAGCAGATTATTCACCAAAATCTGAGCCTCTTCAGACAATGCTACTGATCCTTCCATTTCTGTTTCTCTTACAGTTTGTTGCTCACCCTAACTGCCAGCAGCAATTGCTCACCATGTGGTATGAAAACCTCTCAGGCTTACGGCAACAATCTATAGCCGTGAAGTTCTTGGCTGTCTTTGGGGTCTCCATTGGCCTGCCCTTCCTCGCCATAGCCTACTGGATCGCTCCCTGCAGCAAGGTACGAACACATTAAGGTGCATGGTTTTTATGGGTGTTTCCATCCAGGGCTGGGAATGAAGTCACGTATTTTTCTGTAACGTCGTCGGGAAGTGATTCATGTAATCCTCTAAGATTGCCCCAGAGGAGAGCAAGCATGAGGTGTTGCTTGATATACACAAATGGAGCTATTAGGCATGGTTTGAGGTTTATCTTTTTGAAGAGGATGAGACAGGGGGTGACAAGAAAAGGATAGGAACAAGAAATGGATAGGAGATAATAACATGAGAGTGAGGTGAAGAAAGATGAGAAAAAAAAAGATACTTCCCAAAATGGGAAATAACTAAAGATGATCCTTGTTGCCCTTTGTTAACCCTGATGTTTAAACTCTTGTTCCCTTTATGTACTTTTTGTTGCAAGTTCCCCCCTTCTTCAGGGTTCCTTTCCTCCCTTTCCTTCTTTCTGATCTTGTATTTTTAGTTAGTGGAACATTATTACGGCACATGGGCCTGAAATTCTGACAAGCCCCAGGGGACTTCTTAGTGCTGGAGAGAAGACTAGACTTAATCACACAATCATTATGGTTTTGAGGGAAAAGATGATGAAACTTGGAAAGCTGCCATGTACCTAAATATGGCTGTGCTATGTCTCACAGCATCAGATGGAGCAGGAGAGTTTTGCTGAGACCTAGAGGTCAAAGGACCAGAACCAACCATTAGTTTAAGTAAAAGTTTAATTTGTCTGCAGTACGAAATCCATAGTGAGGTTTCTATCCTAAAAGAGCCTCCTCAGAAAAAGTGGAGATAAATAGGTGTGTGGCAGAGTGATAAAATATCTTTTTCACTACTCTTGCCACAGAAGAAAGGGGTGGCGGGGGGGAAGATCATTTCCATTCAGCAATAGCCAACAACACCATCTATTACAATGTAGAGGGCTTCAGCAGGAGGCTTATCAAAGGTACTTAAATTTGATCAAAATGACCCCTGGCACTGGTAACTTATTCAGTCTTGAAAGCATCTTCTCCCATTTCCTTTAAAAGCCAGTGAGGAATCCTTTCTAAACCAAAAAAATTATTGATCCATGGATGAGTATTAAGGAAAAACTGTAATCTGAAAAGTTTTATTTTAGTGCAATCAGACAAACCTTTTGAAACCGTCTTCCAGAACCTCTGAGGTAATAAAACATGTTTAAGGCTTGGTGTCCTCCAAAATATCTCCAAGAAAAGTACTTTCTCTGACAGTAATTGAGAATACAACTTCATTTTCTCGAGCTTTGTATCAACACAAAACCCCACAGCTTTTATGAATAGTGGACAGGACTCTGGAGTTTCACACGGAGAAGTGGATGTGAAAGCTGGGCTGTGGGTGGGTTTTGTGAGGTCATAGAGAGAATTCCTGTGTGGTATTACCAGGTTGATTCCGTTATGTCAGGCCTCAGTCTGGCAGGGATTTACGGAGCTGTTTAATTTCCTTCACCTCTGTTGAATGTGCTGGGAGTTGGCACACCCGCCAACAGCAACATGGGGGTGTATTCTCAGAATTACAGAGGTTGCGTTGGAATATAGCGATAGGTGGGGAGAACAATTAGACTAGAAATAAGTGGAGAATTTAAATTAAAAGCGTAAAAACTAAGGGGGAAAAACTGAGGCAAAAAATTCAAAATAAACCAGTTTTACAGCAGAAATAAATGATTGAGAAAGTTATTTGGTTTTAATTTCTTATTAAAATTTTTTAAAAATGGAAAGGGGGGGACTTAACTTTTCATTGACTGTGATTTCGTTACACTAAACTTTTCGTGCATTCTCATTTTTCAATGTCCTTTTCATTTCACCCCACTTCAGGCTGTCAAAAACCATACATAACCTTCTATCATAAAGTCAAATTGAAAGTATTTTCAGGCAGGAATTGCCTTTTAATGCATGGGTTTGCATTGATCAGAACAATATAGTCTTGATTTTTGATTGGGGTCTGTGATAAAAATAACAGAACCATGAATGCATTTTTCCCCCCATGAATCAGTACCTCACCCAAAATTGTCATTATTAGGTTTAAGGGATGAGGATTGATGCATGAGCCTTGTATCCTCTCACTGAAAGGATGGTGATGGCAACACAAGATCAGTGTTGTGATGCTCTGAGCAGTCCAGTTCTGCGCTGGTCAATTTTGAAAGTGGTTTGTTGTTTTTTTTTAATTTCAAGTCATGGAAACAGTCGATGTTTCACAACTGGGTAATTTTTCCATAGTAACAATCAACTAAGATATTTAACATGGCTCAAATCAGGCCTGTCTTAAAAGACACATGAATGTCCAGACGTGTGTCAGGCACTTATTTCTGAACTAAGACAGTGGGAAAAATGAAGGAAATCTCTGTAATGTGAAATACTATTTATAGGAGCTGTCTTGACCAATGCTACTGTGAATCACATTCTTAAGATGGTTGAATTCTGCAGTTTCACACAGGATAATAGAGTAATTTGTATCGCAAAATAATTCCTTCACTGTTGTATCTTAGCAAGGAATATGTTTCCAAGCCTTTATTCCCTAACAGAAAAAATTCTTTAATAAAGCTCTGCAGGGTTAGAATATACCATGCCAAACACCAACCTCAAGAATGTGGTAGGTAGTATTAACTGAAGTTTGCAGCTGAACTCTTAAATCCTCTTTTGCATTCAGTTGCACAGAGCTATCTTTATTAAAAACAATTTCGGTGTCAGTGATTCATTCACCTCTGAGTGCACAAACTCTTGACAAGACCCACAGCGTGTAAGCCCATCCTATCCTGAAATGTTTGTGTTGGCTCATCCATCTCATGTAGGCCATGACTCTGACGCCAACTGTTGTTTTATACGCTGGCGTTCAAAACTTGTTTCACTGGTGACGAGAAGATAAGAGAGAGAATGGAAAAAAACCCGCACAGTCTGCTCCCCAGACATATAATGACAAGAGCAAGTGGGATGGTTTGGACTGTCTGCAGAACTTCAAGTATTTTCCTTTTTCTCTGGTCGGTTGAAGCGCACATTCAAATGTTACAGCCCTAACAGAGATTATTCACACACGGCCCTCGGTGCCTGCCTTGCTCTCTGGCCTTCACGTGACCTTGCTGGGGATATACGGACCGTGGCTTCTGCTGCGACAGACTCAGCATTGTTCAAGCACTGAAATGTTAATGGTTCACTCCACCTAAAAATGTACCTACTGTACCTTTTACTCCGGGTATTTTCCTCCCAAGCTAGGCTACATAAAATTTCCACAGCAGTATTCATGCTTCTGCTCTGAGCACTGTACTGAAAATAGTAATGGCTTTTTTTCTTTATGTTGCTTCTCTATCTGTTTGTGCCTGTCTCTTGGAGTAGAGATTAGTTTGCCTTTGGAAAACTTGGTATCCCATTTTATATGTTCTTCATTTTGACGTGTCTGCATGCTTCGTTATTTTCCTCTAACACAACTATAGGATACTAAGTCATGAGATGAGCTCTTCTCTTAAGAATGAACCTTTGTATTCATGCACTGTCAGCGTCTCTGTCTCAGCAGTGACAGCCAGGCACGTCCCTGCAGTCCGGTTTGATGAAAGATGATATTTTGATTTTAAAAAAGTAATTGAGAAACTGATGCACCCAAGTAGTTACACACCTTGAGTTTAATTGTAACCATGTTGCTTGAAAAATATATCTTATTGCCTGGAGGAATTGACACTTCATTGATTTTTTTAACAGAATATTCTAGTCAACACTTTCACCTCCTCTAGCTCTTGGCTAAAAAGTCAGATTTCTGAGGAGACATGAAAAGCATCAGCTCAATAAAAAAAATTGTAAGCTTTCCACAATAATAAAGGGGATAAAATGCCGATGTAACATTGACTAAATACACACTTTTGTTGAATTGGTAGAGAACTAAGTGAAATTACTCACAGAATTCATTTGTTTCTGTAATACATGGGATTATTTCTCTGATAACTGAGGCTGTTTTACTTTAATCTCAGGTATCCTTTTTTTTTAAGTTTCTATAGACAGCAGAAAAAGACTAATTATTTGGACTGAATTCATGGTCCAGTAGTGGGTTTGTTCTCTTTTAGTGAATTCAGGTAGAAATGAGTCTTGTACAGATTGCAAATCACATTATTAAAACTTTGTGGGTAAGGCCCCATATGCCCATAGTCATTTTTCCATTTCATTCTTGCAATTTGAGCTCTCAGAGACAGGTCATATGAGGAAAACATCTGAGATTATTACTGTATGGGACATTGTTCAAACATAATCCATCACCTCACCAGTTCTGTACCGAAAATATCAGTAAAAAAGTGTAAATCTACCCAACACCAGCCATAAAAAGCTGTTGAGAATCAGCACTACACCAAGGTTTACAGCAGAGGAGTGAACCAGCATCACAAGTGCTGGGATTGGTTTTAACACACTTCATTTACTCCTACATCTGCCATAATATTCCCAGACAAGATCAAAGAAATTTGGGGTTTGATTCAGTGCAATGTCTACCCACTTAAACACATCCTTATTGACCTCATAAAAAAGCAAGTATATTAATAAGGGTGTGGGGATAGAGCAGACTTCCTCATTTTCTTCATTTGGAAAATCTTTGTGGTATTTAGAAACATGCAAATTTTCCAATAGAATTTACTATTCTGTCAACTTCGTGAAAGATTCACTTGACATTTTAAAAGTGCAGAGAAAAAGAAATAAGACCCACAATCGTAAGGCTTCCTTTAAATTTCTGCTAGACATAGAACCCTGCTTTTTACAATATTTCCTGCTCTGCAATGGCCAGAGACCTGGGCTCCTTTCAACAAAGCAGATAAGTAAAAAAACAAGGAATTTCCTTTTTCAGTCTTTTTTTCGTATTTCCTATGGAGTTTTATGATCAAGACAGTAGATATTAAGAAAATTTTGAGGATAACTTGTCATCAAGGGAAATGAATCCGTAAGTAATATCCTGGGAAAAAAAAAAATCATTTTCTTTGAGGGAGTTTTGGAAAGGGCCCATACAGGATGGCACTTCCATTGCTGTCTGTTGTGTCCAACACCACAGGCATTGGTCCTTGTGCTCCTAAAAATGCTTCTACTCTGACATCCTTCTGCAGTAATGCTTTCTTAGATCTCAGAAACCGTAAAATGAAAAGAGTGCTATTTAAATTAATGAACAAAGCAAGCCTTTCAAGAAGAATGGAACAAATATTAGCTATAATGAAGAGGTCTGTTGCTCTGATTCTTGGCCTTAATGTCTTGAAATAAATCCTTGTGTTCTGGGGGAGTGAATCTCCAGCTTTTGTAGTAATTATGAAAGGAGACTATCATACCAAAGCATATGAAAAGCATTACTAAAGAAGCTTAAAACAGAAGGCTATTTCCTACACATTGTTAATGAACCAAGAATTCAGCATTAATAACAGACTCTAATATACAACAATGTAAGGATGAGAAGTGGGCCCATCATTAGGATTTATACTGACACACATGACTACATTCATATGACACTCATACACACAAACGTGTCTCATATAAATGTCCTGTCTCTTCATTTTCCCCTTACCATATGGCCAGAACAATTAGATTTTGTATGTGGGTACGAAGGAGTAGCGTAAGATACTGCCATGCATAGAAAATTATCCAAAAGGCATAATTTGAACTGCAGTGCATCATGTCTAGTAATAGCAAACAACAACTTGAACAAATCTAAATCCCATTTAGTTCATGATCTAGAATTTATTTCTGAATCCTTTTCACCTTGAGCAAATGGTTCAACCTTTTATATGAAAAAAAAATAAAACTTCTAGGAGGTGGATAAAGGAAAAAAAAATATGTCTTGTGTATGTTTCATTGCAGTTGGGCCGGACCCTCCGAAGTCCTTTCATGAAGTTTGTGGCACATGCAGTTTCTTTCACAATCTTCCTTGGACTGTTAGTAGTGAACGCTTCGGATCGGTTTGAAGGAGTAAAAAATCTCCCCAATGAGACCATCACGGATCATCCAAAACAAATATTTAGAGTGAAAACAACTCAGTTCTCATGGACAGAATTGCTGATCATGAAGTGGGTATTGGGTAAGCAAAACCAAAATGTCTACGAGTCCCCCATGGAAAGTCAAAATGACTAGGAATAGACAGTGACAAGACAAAGGAAAAAAGAAACAAAAAAAAAAAAACCCACAGCAACCACCCGCCAAAAAAAAAACCCCAAACCCACCATGAGGTTAATTAGGGGCTGATGGCAGTGTTTTGATTAAAACAGAATCAAAGACGACTTTGGCCTTGGTCACTGGTTTTGAAAATATCGACTGATGCTTAGCAAATTCTCACTTCCCTGAGTTTTCACTTTCCATGGTGAATGCTATACACGCTGTTTGCCTCTGTTGGGTTAATCTCTGCATCTTAAAGAGGGTAATACAATCATAGGAACGTAGAGATTCACTCTAGGACATTTCTCTGTCTAAAGTGAACAGAAAGAAGTGTGTGACCACCCTATTTTATTACCCTGCCATGAGATCCTATTATAATTCACTGAACCTCAGTTTCTTTATCTGCAAAATGGGTATATCGTTATTTACTTTTTTTTTTTGGTAATGCACTCTGAGATCTAGTGATGAAAACTGCTAGGCATGTAAGAGCTGGATTTTACAAAACTCATAGAATGAAATTGTTACTGGTGAGAGGACAGCACAGCTCAAGTCTTTTAGAAGACATTAAGTCACTGAACAATATTAAAGGAAGGATTCATGTGGATGAACCCTTCACGTGTCCAAGTTAATATTCCAGGGAGTTTTAGGCAAATTCAGATGCATTACTTCGCCTATAGGCATAATTTATTCCTGGCAGGTCAGCTGCCGTGAGTCACTAATCTAAACAAGCTCAGAAGGATTTATTGGGAAATTGAGCTTATCGACTGTAGAATCTTTGTCTGCCTCTTCTGTATCTATTTTTTCTCACTACCATGATTATGATTCTTCTCTTGCAGCAAATAATTCCACTGTTCCGTAAGTACTGATGGCATTAAACCCCCCTTGAAAAATAGGATAGGGCTGCTCTATCTGATGACTTCCTGGCCACCATTTCTTTGTTCCCTGTCCCTGCAATAATCAGAATCCCATACAGGATATTAGGCTAGAAAATACTGAATAGATGCCAGACTGGATAGAGTAAGTCTGTAAGATACATTTTAAAAATTATATTAAAGCAGTTGGACAAGATGATTAGATTTTAGACTAGGTATTCTTTTCTTATAGGCAGTAGGTATCTGTCTGCCTGGTGGGTTCCTGAGAGATGAAGAAGAAAACATTTCATTTAAAGCAAAGGTTTTCACTTTTCTGGGAGAAGAAAGGTGATTCATTGTACAGACTTCTGAATATAATGAGATTTTCTAATGACTGCCTACATCAGCACTGACAATCTTCTCTGGCCATTTTACCTGTCTGCCTACATAAAGCTTCAAATAATGTTTCAGCAACACTAAGGTGAAAGTTTGGTGCACGCGGCCTGCAGACAGCTGGCACGGGGGCTTGGGCACTTGTTGAGCCCCATACGTGACCCTGAACTTTGAGACCTTTAAAACAGTGAGGGTGGCAGACTGCCCATTTTTTTTTTGACACAAAAATCTTATAGGTGTCGTATATGTAAGTAGAAATATAATTAAATAAAAATAAATGCTGTAGATAAATATCACAGGTAGAGTTGCCAAGACATGCTTTTCCAAAGAAGCAAATGTAAGTTGACAGTAGGTATATGTTAAAGTATAATAAATCTAACTTTTCTATACTAAATGTACACAGCTATAGTTAATCCTACTTGTCAACACCTGCAGTTGCTGGTTTCAGATTCAACAGTCTAGGTGTGCTGCCTGTATTTTGGTACATAGTATAATCAAAAAGCGTAATTTTATTTATTCTCGGCTTGTAAATCCCTTCCTTCTGTTTCTGTCCTTTCTTTTTTCCTTCATACTGCAGCAGTGATGAGTGCTGATGACACACCACTTGTTCCAACCACAGCAGATCGTTTTTGAGAAATTAGTTTACAGGTCCCTGATCTTGGTTCTTTTTTTTCGGGAGAAAATTGGCTGTCTGAGTTATCTGGCTATCAACCATAAAATTATGACGCATGTCCAGAATAGCATTATTTGGGGATAATGCGATAGATTAGCATAGCATAGTGTGGTCACGAGCGAGCGCAACCTGTGAGAGCAGTCCCTGCAATTAATCTTGCTGGAGATAAGAAACGCGATCCATGTGTATATGTTTTAAGAGAAAACTACCAATAGGAGAGTTTCAGACCAGAATTATGTCGAAGGATAGTACTGCCATCTCCTTCTCCCAAATATTTGTAATGCGGGCGAGTAATGGAATAAACCTAGCAGAGGCAATGACTTTGAGCCAGGCAAGTACTTCATCCTGCTCCAAAAATCCACATCAGAGGCTTTACTTTCCACGAGTGTGCACCTCTGAAATGGCTCTAGAGCATCGCTGGCTCAGCCAGGTGATGTTCGCAGCCCATTACACATTCCCACGGATGGCCAGATAGCATTGGAGGTGGGAGAACGTCTTTTTGGTCTCGCTCCTCTTTGTTATGAATGAGCACCCAAGGGCTACAGATTATTAACCTGTTAGTGTGGAGAAATACCACAAGGCTCTGAGAGGGGGATCTGCCCCTTCGCACACGGGGCACGGCAGTTCTGGCTCATGTATCTGTGGTTGGCAGCATGCCTTGGCCACCTCTCCCCCCTTGGCCAAGTCTTCCCAAGAGATGGGATTTTCCTCATGAGTTATGGAGACAAAAATGTGCGCTGGAAGCAGGAAGGTTTCATTTGGAGAGACAAAATCCCCACTGCAAAAGCAGCCAAGGTAGCAGTTAAGCTCTGGGTAGACACAGTCTGAGCACAACTCTCTCCCTTAATCCAACAGCCTTTGGCTGATCCAGGAATGCTCGAAGACAACTCTGCAACATCAGCTGCTCGTGATGTACGTACCAGGCCAATGTTGATAAAACATCTGACAAACTGTTCCTTTTTGTGCACGGGTGGTGAACAGCGCTTCTTGCACACTTCCATTTTTTGTTCCAGATGGGCTGTGCCTGTAGCTTGATCCCCTCCCCCTGCTGAAACCAGAAATGCCCATCAAGGTGACATTTCTGATTATCCCTGCTGCGGGAGAACAGGCACGAGAGACATGCAGGAGCTGGAGAGCAGGAGCTGCTCATATCCCACCTCTCTGTGCGTCCGACTCAGGGAAACAACCTCTCCCAGAGCCATTTGGGGCCTCAGAAACACCACAGCGAAACGTAATCACACCCTGGCAAAGCTACTTTGTGTAGTTGCCTTCCCTTATTTCTTACATCCTCTCTTATGTCCCATCCCCTGAATTTTAGCTGCTTTTTTTTTTTTTTTTTTTTCCCTCAGCATTTTTACTTAAGGAGAAGCTGTGAATTGCTCTCTCACAGTTTATCTACAATTACCCAGCACTACTGACCAAATAATTGCTGTAACTTTTCTACTTTGTCCTGAATAGACGTTTTTCCATATGTATGGCTGAAAAATGATTGCCACACAGTTGGCAAAAGGAGTGATGTAAATTATAGGCCAATAGTGTGATACTTTCACTGAGTGATTCTAATTTTAAGTCAGCCTACTCAATTTTAGACGTTCCTTACTTCATTAGTCTGTGAATTAGGTATATTAGCTGACCAAGATTAGAAATAAATTTGGATGGAAGAGTTAATATTTAAACCAGAAAAGACATTTCTGAAGGACATCGATGAACAAGTGTTTTGGTGGGCAATGTTACCACACGTGTGATATTCCCTGAAGTGCTTTGGTACCTTTATATAACGTGCATGCGTAGTGCGTAGGGCTAATGTCTCCTATCACTCCATTCTGGGATACCATTTTTTTTTTTTTAAGCTAGAAATGTTTCTTTAATATTTCATCTTCGCTCCAGGACAGTTCTTGAGAAACCAATTGTTCCACCTTCTCCCTTAGGCTATTTATTATTAAATCTTACTCATGGTGAATGATGTCTTGAGATGAAGTTCCTGCTTTTACTCAGCCAAGCACCTGTGAACTCGAGGAGAAGAGCTGGGAGGCCCCTCTCCTGCTCTCCCTCAGGCTCTGCTTAGCACTCAGCAGACCTCAGGCTCTCTCCCAAGACAGATCTATACGGCGCATAGCCTGTGCCAGGTTCATACCCTGTATCGGTACATCACACCAGGCACAACCTATATCAGTACATCCCCAAGAACGTGCCTGGAGATTCCAGGGCTGTGGAGGTCACAGGCTAGCTGTGCCCTGGCCGGTGGTGGTATCTATAGCTTAGCTTTCCTTTTTCTCTCGAATCCTTCCCCGTGCACAAGGACTGACAGTGGCAGTTCATTCCTTCACCCTCCGGCTAGATTCACACTGATTTGTTTTCTTCCCTGTAACCCAGCCTTTGACTGCGTCTCTTGGCACACCATGTGCTTCCAGGAGTCTCTGAAGTAGCCAAGCAAATGCATTTACATGCCACGCCACGAGAGCTTCCAGCAAAGAGGATGAAGAAGGGTTCACAAAAAGGACAAGGTTGCAGGAGGCCACTCGGAAATTGGCAGGCACTGCTCCCGCTTGATTAAACGTGAATTTTGCTGCTGCTATGGAAACAGGATTGGGTAGAGTGCAGGAAATATTTATCAGCGGGTTAAATATTCCAATATTTTAGTGATTCGGAAGCAAGATTTTCGTCCTGGAACTGAAACTTGGGCAGGTTAATGAATCTGAGGATTCATTAATAGGAACTGAAAGTTGGGCAGGTTAATGAATCTGACCTGAGCTCTTGGCTCCGGTTTGCCTCCTGAATTCATCTGTCCTCCCCAGCACTCCCCAGTAGAACACACATGTCCAAATGTTTGAATTTTCCGGGGTTTGGCATTTAGATTTATCTAAGTATGTTGTCAGAAAGATCCTAAATTCAGGCTGAACTCAGTGTTTTCAGAGTGGTAAATCAGATTTTAATGCATGGAAATTCATTATTATTTATTATATACAACTTTATGAAAAGTATTGCAAGGGCAGAACTTATTTTTCTCTAATCATACTGGATCAGATTTTCTCTCTCAAAGACCTGTTTCCATTCTGAAAACAGACCCACCCACTATTTTAGAGAAGGAGAAACACATCAGCAGAGCAAGCAATACCATCTTCAGTAGCACAGTTTAGCAAGGAGGTTTTGGGGACAAGAGAGGACATCGACATTTTCTTTTCCAAATCGATCAGCAGTAGGATTTTCTAATGTCTTCAGTGTTTCTGAACTGGGCTTTCTCTAACATCACCAGAAATCTACTTTACCGTTGACACACATAGAGAGATTTTGAAATTTTTACCTCATGTGCACAAAAGTTTTTAATAATATTTAAGAAAAGATGATACGAACCACTCTCAAGAAATTCAGTTTAATTGAAAAGTTATTTGCTTGAGTCTTAAAAGCCACTCTTAGCCAGGAAGCGGGTCTGTCTGAATACAAAAAGCACCTTCTGTGTCTGCCAGTTAAACGTGCTCTGTCCTTCCCGCAGGCATGATATGGTCAGAGTGCAAGGAGATCTGGGAAGAGGGTCCACGCGAATACGTGGTGCATCTCTGGAACCTGCTGGACTTTGGGATGCTGTCCATCTTCGTGGCATCGTTCACCGCCAGGTTCATGGCTTTTCTCAAAGCGACTGAAGCACAACAGTACGTAGATCAGTACGTTCAAGATGATGACCTCAATAATGTCACCCTTCCCCCTGAAGTTGCTTACTTTACTTATGGTAAGACGCTTTTTTGCTATCTAATGCTTCCTGTTCTTTTAGGCTAATGTGTGGCAGTGCTGAAAGCAGCTTTCTTTTTTTGCCATATTTATGTAGATTTTTTTCTAATTAAACCAAATGATTCTTCTCAGATCTACCCATTTCAGCCATCTTCCGAAACAGTCAGAAGGGAACTGAGATCTGAGCCTCATTCAGTCTCTCATCTTGTGCTAAGGCCACGTTCAGGTCAATCACATCCTGATAACATAGCTTGAGCAACAAATAATCAGGAACTGGGACTGAGCAGAATACAATTGAAATTATGGATGAATGAACCTGCTTGGTTTTCCAAATGTAAGAAGGCGGAGATGTGTGAACAAACACAGGATCCGGAGCTGCATTTCTGACTGTTGGTGCGCTCTGCACCTCTGTTACATCCAACACCTGCATCATGAAAAAACAAACACCAGTTATAGCCATAAGCTTCTGCTCCTCCAAGAGAGTAACTTTATCTTTGGAGAGCCTAAATCACGTGTTAGTGCTAGCATTTGGAAATACAAGCAGCAGCATAGCCTTGACAACGGGTTTTTTTGATGGCTGAAATGGTTTTTCTCTGATATTCACAAATGAATAGAGCTTTGCAGCCCAGTGTGATGGCCGGATTCATTGCATGCCTCTGCAAGATTTAGAGGTAACCCTGAGCAAAGTCCATGGGAATTTTTGCTCACTGAGGGGCTGCAGAAGCTAGAGACCTGGGCACAAAGCAGCACCGTTCGCTCCCTAGGCTTGTAAGGTAGTTATTGCAGTGATGTGCTTGGGCTGGAGGGGAAGATCTGGGGCAGGAGACTTCATCCACTGTAGGTGTGCACCATGCAGCACCAGAGACACGTACCCTGACCCCACCCCAGGGTGCACGGCCGTGGGCTCGCTGGTGGGTCTATGAGCTGGTCACACTGGTCCAGCCTCTTGCTCAGTGTGTCCCCTCCGAAGGTAAACCTCCCTTTCCCTGCCCAGGCAAGCAAGAGGCCTCTGAGGTGATGGTGTGGTTTTCCTCTCTGCTTTGCCGCTGACCCATTTAAAGTGAGTCCATGACACAAAGGTGCAAAGGGTCTGGAACAGAATGTCACAATCAGATCCTGATAATTCCTCCATCTGCTGCTTTTCCTTCGGTTCAAATTACTGGAAATAATGCCTACATTTGCTGCTGTATCCTTAAAGATGTCACATGTTCCAGCTCTGAGTCACAATCTTTTCATCAAGAAGCTCAGTTGATGCAAGGACACTTAGAAGCTATATTAATACAAATGTTCAAATTTTCAGTAGATTTGATGCATATCTGGTATCAATAAGAAGCTTTCAAAAGTAAAAATATTGGAGTGACTAGATTGCCAGAATTGGTTTTAATTTAAAGATAACATGAAGATGATACACTTGATGGTTATATCTGCTTTATCTGAACAAATCCTAACTTTCTTATCGAATGGTAGGGATAGAGAGCTCAGACTCCCTCATACTTCCTTTCCAAATACTGACACAGTGCCATGTATCCAAATTTACAGCCAAACTCTGCCGCACTGTAGTTTTGGTTCTCCATCTCAAGGGCTTCAGTTGGAAAAGGCAGAACGTAGTTAATGTTTGACTAGGAAACGGAAAAAATCCTATTTGTTTAAAGCCAGGCTATTTATTTGCCTTTAGTAAATCCCAGTGACTTGCTCATTTCTCATTTTTACCATGCAAAAAATACAACTAATTCTTCTCACCCATATTTGTACAGCACGCTGAGGACTTCATTAACCAATTGTTCCAAACTTTTTTTTTTTTTTTTTTTTTTTTTAAATTTTAACTCCTGGCCAAAATCAAGATTCAGTCTTGAAAAGGGGTCATTTATCATCATAACTTCCATCTAACACTTTTTGTTACTAATACCTAGTGTACATGTATTGTTTTAGCCAGGAACAAGTGGCTTCCCTCGGATCCTCAGATCATTTCAGAAGGACTGTATGCAATAGCTGTGGTACTCAGCTTCTCCCGCATTGCTTACATTCTTCCAGCCAACGAAAGCTTCGGCCCCCTGCAGATCTCTCTGGGGAGGACTGTGAAGGATATCTTCAAGTTCATGGTCATCTTCATCATGGTGTTCCTGGCCTTCATGATTGGAATGTTCAACCTTTACTCTTACTACCTTGGTGCAAAATACAACCCTGCGTTTACAACGTGAGTATCTATGGAAAAGCAACTGCTCTTGCCGGGGTCAATCCATTCTGGTCCATTGCTGCCTCAAGGCTTGCTCAGATAGTTTCTACTCCAGGTGTATGGGGAACTCACATCCAGATTTTTGCCTTGGAAGCTTGTACCACAGCCTCAGCCCTAGTAGCCAGCTCAAGGCCGGAATGTAGTGAGACATGTAGTTCAGAGACAGTTATTTCTGGAAATCAGCATAGCAGATCAGGAAAATGTTTTGGGAGACGTTCAATTTAATAAGTCCAGAGAAGCAGTAGAGAAGAGGTTACACCTAAGATTATTGGTTTTAAAACTGCCAGCCAAAATGCGTGTAAAATAAGAGAAGATTTTGCTTATGTGAGGTCTGTTTTAGGATACGACCTGGGGGCAGCTGTGATCACTAGGTGCCCATCTGCAGAGCCAGCTGCTAGCTGCGAGGCTCAAAATAGCAAACCAAACCAGCATGCCTAGGCCCTGCTTCTTAAATCCTGGCCTGGTACATTTTAGCAGAGGCCACGTGGAAGCTGAACAGAGCATCATGCCAGGTCACTGGCTGCGCAGGACGGGGGGTCTGCCTGGGTCACGCTCACCTGCCAGCGCTCGCTGGGTGGCCCCACAGCCCTGCAGAGGTGCCTCTGCCAGAAGCCCCATCTCCACCTTGTCAGGGATGTCAAGGAGAGAAAAAGGTTGGCAAATGCTTCTGGAATGAGGTTCAGACTGAAGCTGCTTTTGAAAAGGGAGAGCCTACAACTCTTTGTAGGTAGCACAAAATGCAACCGTGATCCTTGGGAACCCAAGCCCTGATGCTGACGGGGACAGCTGAGGTCTTGAAGGAGCTTTCAGAGGAGGGGACATCCTGGTGCCCTGCTGTGTCCGAGGGACATGTCCCATGCATCCACAGGAAAGCCTCCTCCCTTGCCCTGTGATGTGGCATTGGCATAGTACTGTGACAGTCAGCTTTGTGTCTCACAGAACCACCATGACTTGCCTTAGGGATACGTTGGGAACTTTCCTTCCCACACACCCATCTGTGAGGGAAGAGGAAAGCTCAGCATAATGTTTTCCCCTTGCTGTGATCCAACTTCCACGCAACCATGGCGTTCGCCAGATGCAGAGCAGACAGCAGCTGACATTTGATGTGTCATTTCTCCACACAGTGAACAGGGGTCTTAGCTCCTAGTTCCTCTAGGATAAAAGACATTTTCAGCATAATTTCTGTCCTGCACAGGAATCAGTTTTACCATGCCACCCTCTTGTGCGACATGTATCTTGTAACATAATATTTACTTTCTCTAATTGAACCAAACATGCCTTCTAGACCTCTCCTGTAACCTCAGGATATATTTTAATGGAAGGATTTACGAAGCCAGATGCAATTACATTTATCTGTGCTCCTCAGTAGTGAGGTAGAAGAAAATTGAGTGTGTGGGATGTGACTTGCTTCTTATTTGAAGAGAAGCAGATGCCCTTGAAGCACAAGAATTAATGAGAAGTTGGGTCGATACCATCCTCGATCGCCCGGTGGCACAGTAACCCTCAGTTATGGTATCCCTAGGCATGTCACTAGTGCCCACCACTGACAAATTCCAGGCTCTAATGCAATGCCGTCTGGTAACTCCTTCATTACCACTCAATACCTAAGTGGATCTCCCAGTAGTTACTATCTTTTTGAAGGAAATAATGATCAAACATTGATTAAAATGTGACCACTCACTGGAGCAAAGGTTACATGAATGCCCGAAGGATGTCTGAGGTGGGGAGAGTCTTGTCCAAAGGCAGTGCTCTTCCTCTTTAACTTTAGCCTGGTGACTACTTATCCTGGAGGGACTTCATGTTGTTAGGAAGCAAATTTTCCATGAGCATAAATTTTCAAGTATTTGGAAGAAATTTAAAATAGACTTACTTCTGATTATTTAAACACACAGAAGTGTCAAATGATGATCAGTAAGAATGAGCCCTTTCATCCTATGAAACAAAGAGAATAGATTAAGAGTCATGCTGAAAATCCTCCTCAGACATCTTATTCAACAAGCTAGAAACCCTGAGGTATACAGTCTCAAACAATTTTAATAAGCTCATGGCATATCATATTGGCAGATGGGCAGCTGACAATTCTAGCAACATTTCCTTCTCTATTTTTTGTGAGCTGCCTGTGGGTCTTGCTGAATGTGGCGGGCTCCTGCTGCCATTAACTTATTCATGAATGGAAGGAAAATTTCAATATTAGACCTGAGTAAGTAACTCTTGTGAAAATTCACTGGGGCAAATAAAGAGAATGCTTATTTTGGTTCCCTCATAACCATTCTGTGACCTCAGTGACCCCGCTGAATGCGTTTCCTGGTGGGCATGTTTGTGACTTCTAGTGAGGGTGGGTGAAATTTTACAGAAAGCAAGTTTTATACTCAGAAATACGACTATTCAACTATGAGACCTAATTCTTAGGGGTCTCCTGGCTAGTCATGATAGAAAAGGCCCCTTGGATTTGTGCCGTCATTGACCGTGGCCGGTTTCAAAGTGGCCAGCTGACTGACAGCTCACTGGGTAGCCTCAGTGAGAAACCTTAGACAAACTGCTACTCACTGAAATAGCTTCAAATTACACATTTAAGAAAAACCACAGCTTCCCAGGACAGTACCTCGGCAGCAAAAGGAGTGTACATTTGTCTAGATAACACTCAGAGGGAATTGCTTGCTTAGTTCTAATGATGATAATCAATGAATGTTTGGTGTAATTTAGCTTTCACCTTCCCTTGCTACTGCACTTTTGACATCATGTGCTCTGTTTTGCCACCTATAAAGCCCGTGCATAGCACCCCAGTGGCCTCTGAACTGAGCTATCATGCAAAGTTTCTGTCAGTTCTTCCATTTTAATGCTCTGGATGCGAAGAAAATAAAGGTACAGTAGACTTCACAAAGTTAAATATAAGTATTGATGAACTAACCTTGGTGTAGTTTCGACATTTTTTTGAAGTAGTTCGGTGCTGACAAGTAGACCATTTTCACGACAGTTGCAACCAACCCCAGCTATGTTTATGTGTATTGTATGCTGTGTACAGAACACAGCTCTTGCAACAGCCTGTAATTAAGAACATGCTATGCAAACAAAATTGAAATGGAGGCAAGGCTGTGTTCATCTTGCTTTTGCATCACAAATCAGGCTGAAGGCTACAACGTGAGGTTTTCTGTCTCCCCCTCCCCAAAGGGAAATGTGACTCACTGTTCAGTGCCAACGTTACTTCAAGGCTTGAAGGCTTCTTTCCTCTCGTTTTGCTTTGTCAAAATGTGATATTTTTGTAGATTATATTGACTGCATTGCTTTTTCGTCGGTGTTAAATCTCAACCAATCAATTTAAGGAAATAAGGCTGAAAGGATGCCTTAAGCTTTCTTAAAGCAGAGGACACAAGTTTGACATGAAACCATAGCCTTGCCATGATCTTTTTTGGTGAACAGCACACTGCTGTTTATAAAAGCGAGGAAAATCTGCATCTAGATGATTGCCTATGGTCTGTTTACTTCCTGGATGCAAAATCTTTGTTTAACTTTTACATGACAATGTGCATAGAAACAAACAAACAAAAAAATCGTCTCTGCTCTCTCCTCACCGCAACAGTCAGCTCTACCACAGCAGGGAGAGAGTGCAGGTACCCGTCTCCACAAGAAGCCTCAGTCAATCTGCCACTGCCAGATCCTCCTGCTGCCAGGAGCTGTCAGTCTGGGCAGGACTCCTGACTTCCTCCAATCCTTCATTTGTCTGCCTTTGAGAAGGATAAACCACCCACTGACCCTGCAGGAAGGGGGTAAATTGCTTAGCTGGCAACAGTGAGACACATCCGCATCTTGGAATCTTTGAGAATTTGGCTTCAAACATCCTCATCTCGTGTTTTAGTGAGATGTTCTCAAAAAAAAAACCAAAAAACCCAACCAACCCAACTGAATATTCCCTGTGACCTGTGCCAGTTTCATGCAGTTTGGCATCAATCTGAGAAGTAATAAGGTAAGAGCCATCCTGCTTTTTCGGAGGGCAGGGATGGACTAGTCCAAGGTTTCCTTAGAAATGTTTCCTCTACAAGAGGGAGACCTGTGTCTGCCTGGGGGAGTTGCTAAGCACCGTTTCGGGGTGCTACAGGCCAGGTCCACCTCTCACCCCACCTCCCCATGCTCCCCACCATGGGCACTGCTCCCTCCCCTGGCCCTGGGAATAAGGGCTATGGACATCTGCAGTGGAGCCTGGCCCTGGCCCGTCTCCCCTGCAGGGCTCGGGGCAGTCAGGGCCACTCGCAGAACCTTAATCAACTTTTGAAGGAGAATCTGACACCACTCCAGAGCTAAGGTTAATGCTTGAGCTGTGGAAAAGGAGCGGAGTTGACACACTGTATTAAAAACTGCTGGCAGGGTGGAAAACGACGGGAACCTTTCCAAATTAAAAAAGAAAGGTTAATAGCAGGGTGCAGCTGGGATCAAGGCTGGAGGTTACGGGTTTTATTAGTTTGGTAAATGACTTAGGTGGTGGGTTTCAAAGTCAGAGATTTCTGGCGTTAAATACGTTCTTTAACTGGAAAGTGCAACTTTTATAGAACAAGCGCTGGTCACGTTGCTACCATAAAAGTGAAGGGTATCAGACACATTAATGCCAGCTACCCTGTTCTGCAGACAAGAACAGGAGACAAGAGCAAAACCATACAGGAGAGGAAATGTCCAGCAAGTGGGAAAGCGGTGGCACTTGTTTGCTGCACCCTCGTAGCTCATCCCACAAGCGTTTATCTCTGTGTGGTGTCCCAGCCTCATGCAAAGCAGCAAGGGAGAGTGAATGTGGGATCGGTGACTCTGGCTGACAGAGAGACTCAACAGAAAGCCACATGTTAAATTAAATCCTGTTTTATTTAGACCAGATAAATAAAACACCACTCGGGGTTACTCCCCACAAGTGAATGCAGTTATAACTGGCTGAGAATCGAACCTAAACGTTTACTGCAGTTTTACTACTAGACGTAAATGGAACATGGAATACACTCAGTTATGATGGGAGATAAATATCAGTTGGCTGTGGCAGCAAGTTAATTGCCCTGTGCTCTGCACTAACCTTTCAAGGGGTTAAAATTAATTTCTCTTGCTTTTATGCATGGTGTAATTGCTACTGGAGTCAATGTAAAGCTTATTTTTCCCTTAGGATACTAGTTTGTGTCTATAATCTGCTTTTATGAAGGGATTTAGCAGGATTAGGCTGCCATCCTAGTAAAAAAAAATATTTAATCAAAATAATTTGTAAGAGGTATTGTTTTCTTAGAAGGCGTTTACCTCCTGGCAGGCAGGGGGTGGTTAACTGTTACCATGCTAAGGATCGTTTGGTGAAGGCAAAATTGTTTCTAAATTAAAAATTAAGCAAAATGCTTCCAAAATGTACCAGGGTCCCTCCTTCTCCTTCCTTCCTTCCTATTCAGCTGTGGCTGCTCCCCTTCTGCCTGTTGCAGCTTTGGCTCCTTTGCATCAAACTCTCCTTCTGACTTGTCAGTCCAGCCACATCCCTTCCAGCCCCACTTCTCTTTGTTGTTGGCTTATTCTGCTCTTTTTTTCCTGTCTTTCAACCTTTTTATTTTCCTCTGGTTCTTTTTACCTTCAAGCAAGTGTAACAATCAAATCAAAATGCTTCTCTACAACATCTACCACTCCGTAATTTCAAATTTTTTGCTACAAATTCTTGGGCACCTGACTTGTTTGCAGTCCCAAAGCAGGATGGGAAGAAAATCAGACTATGGGATGGTTACATTTGCACTGTGCGCTCATTATATTAATGACACTAATCAGAACTTTTCAGTCACTCCTCTTCGGTAAAAGGTAACGCTTCTCTTCTGCCCTGGAAATGGCATATAAGGAGGTCAAACCAGGTTCCTTTCTCAGATAATCTCTGCTTGTCTTCTCTGGATGAGAAAAGAGTGAGTGAGTAGAATTACAAAGCCCTACACAAAAAGTTTCCAACTGTCCATGGAGAAGACGTCCTTAATAGGGACGCAAAATCCAAGTGACAAATAATGCACCTGAGAAGAACAGATGGAACAAATAAAGGGACACTGTAACATTACAGAATTAATCAGAAATCATATTTCTTCATCAAATCAGGAAATATGATTCGCCACATCCCTGGGTGATGAATAATGGCTTACAACGGCTGTGCCAAAGCATCATATTTATATTTGCGGATTGTCACCTTTGTTATTAGCATTTGGCCTGGCTAACCTGATGTTAACTCCATCAAATGACTGTTTGTTTTATTTTTAGGGTAGAAGAAAGTTTTAAAACCTTATTCTGGTCAATATTTGGCTTATCTGAAGTGATATCTGTGGTGCTGAAGTACGATCATAAATTCATTGAGAATATTGGATATGTACTCTATGGAGTATATAACGTGACTATGGTGGTGGTGCTGCTTAATATGCTAATAGCCATGATCAACAACTCCTATCAGGAAATTGAGGTAAGATGGGAAATTAGATTACGAACTCAATGTACTTAATTACCGCCGACAATGAAAATGTTAAAAAAAAACATGGGAGGTGTTGCTTATTCCATATGCAAGATTAGAGTGCTGTTGAAATACAGATCTTACACCTTGTAAGAGTTAAGGCTGTGTCTGTCCTCCCCAAGTTAGGACTGCATTAAAAATTAACACTGAATCGTTTCTAGTCAACTTCCTTTTTTTTTTTTTTTTTTAATGACCATCTGTGAATAAACCAAATTTCCTTTACATGTGTTTAATGAAAGCAGCTTGTGATATTTTTTTACACCCTCTGTCAGTTATGATAATTTATCCATGTGTGTTACCTTAGCTGCATTGTTTGCTTATGAAAAATTGAGCAATATCTCATCTGGCTTCTTGCCCTGTTCTCTACTGGTTAAACGCCCAAGCCCATCTAGGTCTGAAACTCATGTATGCATATTTTTAAAATCCATATTTTCCAAATACCAGGCATACAACCTCGATACAGATTTTTTTTTTTTTTTTTTTTTTTTTTTTTTTTTTTTTTTTTTTTTTTTGAAGGAGGAGGAGTGTCTAAGTCTGCAAAACATAACTGTATGGACATTCACAAAAAAAGGCAACTTTTAAAGGATATTAACACAGCCCTCAAAGAATATGAACAGGTTTCTGCAGAAAGGCGTTTGCAGGGTTTATCAGCCTTGTTCAATAGCATTGCTATTAGCAGACTGGATTTGCTAAATGCTTTAGACATAAACAACTCCCTGCTAATGTCAATAAAGGCAGAAAAAAAAAATTATTTGGATAATAACGCTGACTCACCTCTTCTTTCTGATTTGTTAAATGTCAAGCTTCTGTAGTTGGGTTTGTATTCATTATTTGTTCTAATCTCCCCTCAGAAGCTGACACTGCAAAAGGCCACGGCTGAAAATATTTTCTCACTGTAATGTCTGATTCACCCATGTACTGTATTGCAAATACAACTCTATCTTGTGCATGCTGTAACTAGGTCCGAATGTCAGGCAGTCCTTCCGTATGTTCTCTGTCCTAGAAGCTTTCCCACATGCAGAAGGCAGAGTCATTTCCCCAAAGGTTTTTAACCACTTAAGATCAAGAGTCTTCTTGAATCCTCTTTCACCTAAACAAGATTTACTTCTGGAGGGGTCTAAGCCTCTTGCTGCATTTTGTAGTTTATTGTGGTAGGTAGAGATGCTCTTGAAAGTTTTGGAAGAAAAGTTTCCAAAACTACCCGAATAGGTGGCCTATATTAACTTTCTAGGCTGAACTTTCTGATGACCATTTTCCTGGAAAAATCCATTATCGTCCTTCTTGATTGCATGGAATTTTTCAAAACTTTCTTAAAGACTACTTGTAACTATCAGCAAGCAAAACAAGTGTGAGGGATTTGGCCAAGATCCTCCTACCTGAGGCATGGGAAAACCCCATAAATCTCATAGTATTTCCTTTCAACCCTCAGTAGCAGGGAGATTAAAGACGGAGTCATCCTACCGACTGCAGAGAAAGTCCCTTTTGCCAATGTGTTCATCTGACAATAGAAATGTCAGTAATGACAGAGGACGGTCATTACTTAGGAATTAAAATCCGTTATGGTCAGCGGTGACATGTTTTACTGTTAGCTGGAGTGGCAAGACTATAGTCTCATGCTTTCCATTGAACATCCCTCTTCAGCTAATTCTGTTTGTGCCTCAAGTATTGGTGCTTCCTGACAACTTTGCATTTATGGAAAGAAAAAAAAAAAATTATTTTCCCAGCCAGAAACCAGAACTACTTCTATCAGCAGGTTCTTAACTGATTAAAAGAAAAGCCTTAAAACTGTTCACAAGTGGTTTCTACCATAATTCAGCTTAAGGCTTCTGCGAAGCGTGACCCCAAACAATGACAAGACCAAACAGCAGGAGTGCTGCTCCACTGGTGAAGACATACTGCTGTAACCGTGACAATTCATCTCAGTTGTGTTATGCCAGTTTTTTGACTGAGTTTCAGAGGTACAAGGTAATCAAAGGTTATTAATTTCAGCAGCACACAGATGTACATGAGGACAGGGTGTTGGCAAACCCACGCTCCTATTGATGCTGCTGGCCTCCATATAAACCACAATGAGAACAGCTGTCGAGCAGCTGTATCTCATCCTTTCTTTTGCCTGAAATATGTTCCTCCTACACGGCCCTGACCATCCTCCCATATAAATGCCAAGCAGATCCATAAAGTATGTGCTAACCTTGTCCTTGTACTTGGAAGTGATCCTGGCCCACCTTGACAGTTCACAAAGGAGATTCACAGGCACTGAGTGATGGACTTTTTCTCCAGCTTTATCCACTGAGGTGAATAGTAAGAGGATTACGGTGTGTTGATCTAGGGATACATGATGGTGAATGCAAGCAGGATTTGTGAGGAAATCAGCTAATTATAGAAGAAATCAGGAACCCATCCTCTCCTAGCCTCCTCCCTGTATGGGGGATTCCTGGCAAAAGCAGTGATAACAGACAGCTGGCAGTGAGACAGCATCGCAGTTAATCAGAGACAGGCTTTGCTGTTGTCGTGCACATAACAACTTCTTCTGCTTTCCATAACTCTGTATATGTTCTGACACATTCTTTTATCAGCACAAGCACCAGATTGTTACTGAAAGACAACCCCTTTGATACCCAAGGAAATAGGAATAGTCTAGTATTTGAAGGACTTACACTCTCAGTTTATCCATTGCTTTGTTCCAATTTTCCTTATTTTAAGGTTACCTACAAAGATGTGTGCAGGGGTCTTGTTTTGGCAAACAGAAACCTGATTCTAGTAAAATCCTACCTGTATGATTGTCCTTCTCACAGCTAAATTCCTTCCTATTTACTAATTATGCATTTGTGTGTTGTTTGTTGTGTTGTTTGTTTTTTTTTTTAATTTCTCTTCCCTTCCCAAGGAGGATGCAGATGTGGAGTGGAAGTTTGCACGTGCAAAGCTCTGGCTGTCCTACTTTGACGAAGGAAGGACTTTACCTGCTCCTTTTAATCTAGTGCCAAGCCCTAAATCATTTTATTATCTCATACTGAGAATAAAAATGTGCCTCATAAAACTCTGCAAATCTAAGGCCAAAAACTGTGAAAATGACCTTGAGATGGGGATGTTGAATTCCAAACAACGGGTATGTTGCATCTTCACTTTTCACTTTTTTTTGTAGAAAGGATTCGTGGCAGGAACCTTCTGAAGGGGGGTGACATGCCACACAGGTAGATCAGGGACAGCACAGACTCTTACTCAGCCTCATCATTGCATGTTACTTGTATTATATTGCACCTAGAGGGTCCTCCCAGACTTGTGGCCTCATTATACTACCAGGAAAAGAGCAACTTTTATAAAAGTAGGCATTTTTATGAGGGAGTTTCCCAAGTTCAAATACAAAAGGCAGAAAGAGAGGCACAAATAGGATCCCACCGTGTCTGACTCCTCATCTTCCCAGCCTTTTCAAAACATTCACCTTCCTTTAAGTGATTTCCAAATTAATTTTGCTGTCATTACAACATTTACTGCCATCCCGGGTTTGGGAACAAGTTTCCAAGGTGCTTAATACCACCTCCTAGATACCTAAAGCTGTAATGAACAGCCTCTCTACTTACATCTGCCAAGTGATGTGTAGCGACTAACGGGTAGATTCTGCTTCAGCCAACACCCCTTTGGTCATTTGAAATAGAAATTTGCTTTGGAAATATTGGCTACACAGCAGCAATGCTTTCCTCAGCACCAGTGAGTGTCTGCCTGACACAGCAAGAATATGGTTAGCACCCAGACCCTTCCCAACAGGATTAGCTTTGCTCCCCCGTGGGAAAATGACAGAGAAATTAGAGAAAATGTTGCCTGTGGAAAGTATTACCTGCAACGCAGCGCAGACCATCACTGGGATGAAGCATTCCTAGCTCATAAATTTATAATATATACAATCCCACTCACAGGGCAAGTCCACCTGCTTTACACCCAAAACATTCACAGGAACCCAGCCACGGCTGTTCGGCTGCTGGCATCAAATTTGGTGGAAAAGATGCAAGAAGGCAGCTTTGCTTGAAAGTCTCCTGGCCTTTATTTATTTTTCTCAGCTCAAGCTGGGTTTGAAACAAGAGAACAACACAAGAGAACCCATTCCTGGAAGAGAAGAAAAGCCCTCAGAAATGTGTCGTGTCTTATTTTTTTACAGTAAGTGCATGTGAGAGGCTGGTGTCGTTCCTTGGCAGGCTGGCCAGCTTTTCTAGGGCACATTGCTAGTCCCTCAGCCTGCTCTCAGACCCAGCCAGCCAGGCTGTAAATCCCCAGCTGGGTGGAAATACGCATGAGGAGGAAGAAGTGGGTGACGTTGGGACCCTCCAACTGAGACGTGAGCAGCCAACCCCCAGTTTTAAGCTTGCACAAGGGAAGAGTTGTGACAAGAAAGACCGAGGCGAAGGAAAGGAAGGTTGGAGGAGTCTGAAGAGTTTGACTTTGTAATGTGCAACATGCTTTGGGGCTTTGTCTGGATCTCTTGGCTCTCCTTGAAGGAGCAAACAGCTGAGCAAGACAACTCACGGTGAACCATCCAGCTCCAGGCACAGGCTGTGGCCTTGGAGGAGATCATGCTCCCATGAGTTTAAGAGGATTGCTCAGGTCTGATGTTCTTTCAGTCTCTGCCAGAGCCTAAATCGAAGGGAGAAGTCTATCCATGGAGTCTATTCCATGTTACTGGTTAATTTAACTACCCAACACAGTGAGCATTACCAAGGTAGATAAGCATTTGGGGGCTTCCTACTCTATAAATTCACATAACATTACTATGATTACTGAAAGATCCACTAGAACAGTGAAGTCTGGAAGTAAAAGAAATGTTTGTCCTTTATCTCAAATAATGATTAAAAAAGGTAATATTTTTAAAACATTATTTGAATCAGACCACATGAAGCTTGCTTTGTTTTAAATTTAATTTCTGCTTCAAAGCATAAACCAAAGAAATAAAATTTTTTCTAAGCCCTTTCTTCCCCAAGCCACATGAGTGACAGTGTCTAGCTTGCCCTTTTTCATGGAACTCATGCAAAATTCATCGTTTCCACAGCTTTGACATAAACAGTTAAGAGTATCAGTCATTTCTTGCTTGCCTGTTGATTTTATTCACAGATCATCTTCAAAACCGTCTCTGTAAGACCATGGAACACCTGATGAGTGAGAACAAAAAAAAAAAAAAAAAAAAAAAAAAATAGTTCAATCATTATCAGCTCCTGAATTTTAAAAAATAATAATTAAAAAAAAAAAAAATCACTTATTTCTCAGGATCTCTGGTCCAGTCAGGGAAGAAAAACCCTTAACCAGAGCTTTCCCTGCACATGCACTTGCATATAGGTTCATAGATCTGTAACATGTTGGTTCCTTTGGGTCTATCATATGAATTAATTCCTTTGAATAAGTGATTTTTTTTTTTCATTAGCACTTGAGCCAGAATGTTCAGAGGTGGATAAGAGAGTCAAAGAAATCTGTTACCAATATTATGTGCAGTCTTCAGAAAAATCTCCTTGAACTCTCTTTTAGAGTACAAAATTAATAGTTGTGATGTCCTCTGATAAAAAAATACTGCTCTATCTAAAAAAAAAAAAAAAAAGCATCATTGAGCTAAAAAAGTAGCAAATGGTACTTGCTGTTTTAAAAGGACTGATGAAAATCAATTCTGTTTCAGAATTTATTTTCATGCCACATCAATTTGTTCTCTTTAAACAAGAGCATTTATTTTTCTTCCTTTCTTAAAATGTGTTCTAAATTAATAATCACCAATCAACTTTAGATTAACATATTTTGTGCCTCTTAATACCTTCTTGTCTAAAACTTGTGTGAGAATACCATTTTTCTCTAGGCAATTTAGAATCCAAATTTTTCAGTAATTTGTGGGTTTTGACCTTTTGTCTGACTTTCAAAAGTTTACTTTTTTAGACCTGAATGCACTAACTTTTATTCTACTCATACACTGAACCATTTCCTACTGTTTTTATAAAGCTCTGTTTAGTTTGGGGCTGTCTGGATATGAGAAGTTATCATTGATTTAATTATGTCATGATGTTTTATAATTTCAGAAAGTTCGTTTTCACTCTAGCACTCGAAATACAGAAAATTTTTCTGGGAAGAATGCTTATAACAAGCCCACAAGATATCAGGTAATCACAGCATGAAAGCAAGAGTCAGGGAAGAGATCTGTCAGTGAACAGCTCTTACCTGCCAGGGTCATGTTTGTTTTTTTTCCAGTCAATGCCAGGCTGTGGCTTAGCACGGGCACGGAGCTGGGTTGGGGCACTTGCAGCCTGTCACCCAGGGAAATACAGATGGTGCTAGTGTTTGCCATGCTAATTAATTCCACCCGAGGGTATTTAATTTAATACAAGAAATATCATTCAAGCTTTAATCCTCCAATCTTGCATTAAGAGCATTTCGTTTGTCATCTCTCCAGCCTTTCCATTAACATTTGCATGTGCTTTCTCTGGCAGTGGCTCGTCCTACCAAGCTAAACCCGCAATGTGGTATGGTTCAAAAATACCTGTGGCCGCGGTGGTGGCACGGGGTGCCCCAGTCATCGCAGGAACTAACACAACTGTCTGTCTAGGCTGGAGTGTTTGTGCCAGCAGATGTATTATTTCTTGTGCAAACATGTGTAGTAGGGTACCACAATAAGCAAAATGTGCCCCGCGGGATTTTTTCCTTGTTTTTTTAACATAAAGTGAAAAGAAATCTGACAGCACGTGATCTGTCTGAAGGAACCAACATTAAAGACAGTTGAGGAAAGCAATAGTTAAGTCGGATAAAATGTGCGATGACAATTCTAGAAGTGGTTTGCCTTGTGTTGGTACAGCATCCAGCACAGTGGGCTCCTGGGCTCTACAGCAGACCAGTAACAAACTTCTGCTGGTGTTAAAAAATGTTCAGGTTTTTGTGTCAGGACAGGAGGAGTATGTAAAAATGTAAGTTAGGAGGGCGATACATTCACTCTGGCATCTGGAGTTATTTGGCTTGATACCATCAAAGGCAAAGAGAAGAGATGTTTGTGTCCCGCTCAGAATGGTATTTCAGCATTTCTGACATTTTCCCATCCAGTCAGACCCACAGGTAACGGAAAGATGTGTCAGCCTCTGCTGGACTCACTCCCTGCCTGTAGCTATTATTTCTCAGTGAGACCGCCTAATGTTTGTGGTAAATTAGACCCTTATTTCCGAGGTTGAAAAAGCCAAAGGCGACGTGAATAATAGATAGAAAACGATAACTACCCGTTATTTTGCCTTAATAATGCTCCTACTAGGTTTGTCTTCAAATGATCTTTGGAAGTTTCAGTTGCTGCAGGAATAGATTGCCCAGATAACATAAGGAGGGTGTAATAGTCTTGATTATCTAAAGAACAGTTTGATAATCTGGCCAGCAAGCTTTCTTCTACAACCGGGAAATCTTTGAAGCAGTAGCTTCTCGCTGAACTCTTTTCTTTTATTGTATTTATCAAGTGGTGTATACGCAGTTTGTGTACTTGGACTACAGACAGACCGTACTCTTGAGGGGGTAACAAAAATACACAGAAACTAAACATGCAATAATTTGAAAAGTAGGAAGAACATGTCGACACGTAGCTGTCGTGATCTTGGAATAAACTACTCCAAGCAAAATATCTTGATCAAACCCTCTTGAGCTGAGACTTTAAGATGGAGCGTTGCGGAAATGCTGTGCTAAGCTCACAAGTTTTTCCCTCTTTCAGCACTGCAGTCTGTCATGCTAACAACATCTTCATCTACAAAACTCAGGAAAGGCTTTGTCAGGAAAAAACAGAGGGAATAGTTTGTACTTTTAAGGGCTCAGAGGTATATTTCTTTGCTGCTTTGACAGACAAAATAGCACACAGGTGAGAAATGAGAAAAATCCTTGGCCCGCTTCACTCTCGAACTCTTCTACTGCCTAAGGGATAACATGTGCATTTGAGACACCAGCTTTGAAATGACACCCCAGTGAGTGGCTGTGCCCTCTGATCGCTGCCGACTTTGGTTTGATTTTGACCAGGGACATGAAGGCACAAAGCATTTCCTCCCATTAGCGCTGCCCTGGGACCTCCCACACTCATCCCAAATGGCATCTGCAGTGCTCACAAACACAGCAGCAAGAAGAAACCTGTGAATCAAATAGGCTTAAGGTCTGTAACAATGTGATCTTCAAAGGTGCACAGAAGTGAGGTCCAGAATACAACACTATAAATAGTGAAGTGGGAAGACAACACGGACTCCACATTAAAAGACAAGGGACTGAGGTCCAGCAGGACTTATCAGACCTGAAACACCTATGGTTGAACCAGAAATTGAGCCCTAAATCTCACGAGTCAAATTTGTGGCCTTGGCCACAAATCTGTCCTTTTCTTCTCAAATCCCTTTGTGCTAGAAGGTGTAGAAGGTGTTCAGGTAGCTGATGGCAAATGCAAAGCTTGACCGTCGTGCCTATAAATACATAAAAAAATACGGAATTCAGTACAGAGTTATAATTTACAAATGCCTGACCTGTTCCTAGAACCCGTTCTCTTAAGACCAGCACTCAGTAGTTGAGTGTTCCTTAGTATGAAAGATCTCTAAGACCTGTAGGATTTCAGTTACTTTTTAGAGAATGAGGGAATAGCGCTTTGTAGAAATCAGCCATATTTGCACTGTTTCAGGTTTAGCATTCATTATCGAGAGGCTGTCTGTAAGTTTTGTTCAGCATTTCCCTGCGGTAAGCAGGCCGATTGGCCAAGAGGCTACTTCACCCATTGTAGCTAAAAGGGGCAGTACTGGGGAGAAGGGAAGAAGCAAGGCTTAGAAGCCACAGTGCAATATCAAGGCAAAAATTAATTACTTTCCTAAAGCTATTGGCGGAAATATCTACTAAGTGGCTAAGTAGACTCTTGTTAAAAAGTGGTCACATTTTTCAGATTTAATTCCTGTAGGCAAATCTGTGTACAGCGTGTATTTGGTAGACCAGGCAGCCTTAAGCTTGTGATTTTTATCACGCACAGTGGTTAATACAGGATAGCATTTGAGTGGTGCCCATCAAAAATACAAGCTGTATGGGAACTGGAGCAGATAGATGTGATGTTATCAGATTCTTCCAGGTAATAGGCGCATTCCCTGTGTGCTGATTCCTTGTTTTAGTTGATCTTTTTTCTCTGTCGTCTGTTCTGAAACAATAATTTCTTTTTGGATCCAGGATTTCCCTACTTTCCCCAAACATTACTTCATTTATGTTTTCTCAGGTGACAACCCTACCTCCCTCTGGATTCTACTACCTTGGCCATCTTCAACACACCGTACGTGCACTGTGCCTCATCTCTGTTGCCTTAATGACTCGCCCGGTTAGCCAGATGCCTCTTTGATACAAGGACAGGTCTTAGACATCCCATATTCCGTGACTGCATGACATATACAAGTGACTGGATCCTCCTTTGATGTTCACATGCCTTTTGCACTGCTGTAATTCATATTTGGCTACTAAGAAAAAAAATAGAGCAGGTGTACTGAGTTCTTAAATCATATTTCACACTCCTTGCAGCATTTTTCAGTGATGTTCAAAGCAGAGGCTTGTGACTGCTCTGTGAATAAGTGAGCTCATGCCAGGAGAGGATTTTTCCTTAACAGCGGCCATCCGGCCAGGGAAAGACATTTATGTATCTGTCCTTGGATGCTCAGAGATCTCTGTTTGCAGAGGATGGACCTAAATCATTGTCTCAGATAGAGCAATCCTTTTTATGTTTATCATAGTTGAGACTTTTTTTTTCCCCATTGATGAGTGTGTTTTCTGTAGCGAAGAACAGGCAATGATGCAGACCCAGTGTGTAGCCCAAGACTGCCAAAGTTACTTTCCTTCTAGATGAACGTTACATGCATTTTTGGAACAATATCACATTGCAAGCTTGTACCCATTGCCATCTTCTACTATTTTCATATACGCTTTTCCTTACCAACAATCATCTCCCAGTTTATAAATCTACATGGCTCTATTTTTTCCCTGTGCATGTCCCTTAAAATCTGCCCATTTCCTTAAGAAACTTCTCTCACTTAAGCCAAGTCCTCCACTTCTGTTCAAGCTCTCTTTTCTCTGTCCTTCACTAAAATTATTTTCTCTCCTAAAATCCCAATTGCAAGGCAAACAGAGTCTTTCTGTTAACCTCAGGTCAGATGTTTAGTTCATCATAATGAGAGAATTTGCTAAAATAATGAATTAACCACATATTTCTTCCTGTAAAATGTTTTTTTAATTGATAAATTAAACAGCAACATGCTAAGGGAAGATTCTGGATCCCATTTCTTAGCTTGCTATTGGATCATCTGTGTTTTCTTCCTGTCTGTGGGACATAGTCTACATTCAAGTGCATCTCACAAAATACCCCATTATGGAATGGCTGTCAATCAACTATTGTAGTGCAAAGTTCATAATATAAAGTATAAAATAAATGGGAAGCCAATAAAAAAAATTCTCTTTGCATCCTGTGAAGCCAGGTTTTATTCATACTGAAATCAGGTGTTTGAACTGCTCGTAATGAGCCTAGAATTAAAGCAATGTGGAGAGCTCGTGTTAAGATAAGTGTTTCTGTTCTCTTTTCAGAAAATAATGAAACGTCTGATTAAGCGGTATGTACTGAAGGCTCAGGTTGACCGAGAAAATGATGAGGTCAATGAAGGCAAGTGGATTTTTATAACTGACACAGAGTAGAGCATGTAATGGTATTGCTATTGATAGGGCCGGTAAAAGAGTTGAGTTTAGATAACATCCGCTGTAGAGAGGGAGCAGGCTCATGCTCACACTAAGGTGAGCAGCGGTGACTCTGAGCCACCTTTATGCTCTTGAAATTCTGGGTACTTAATTTTCCTTAGCAGAACATACATATCATAGGATCTGCCTTTACATAATCCTGTTCTGCCCTACAGTTCTTCTTGCTTTACAACACCCACAATCTTGCCAGCACCCAACCTCGTCTTGGGATCTAAGTAAAGCAATTTTTGACGGTGCTGCCCATGCCCAAAGACTTTTTTTGAACTGGGTAAGGATTTGTATGGCCATGGTGTCATGTAGCATTTATATGCAGATGGGGAAGAACCTCCTCCTAACACCTCTTAACTGCTACACTCCTGCAAATGGCCTGTGTAGGTGGAGATCAATATGTGGAGAGAGAAAAGGCTTGAGGAAAAATATGAACTTTCCATACATATTTGCTATTGCTGTCAGTACCAACTACTGCCAGTACAAGTTATTTCTTGTAAGTCAAATAGTAAGTGCATAAACACAGGGACTTCATATGGAGCTCCACACACTTTCATTACCAAGGACACTGAAATTAATGCTTTCTCGGGTAAAAAACGTAGAGATTAATGATTTGGTTCAATATTGATAACAAGAATATTTTCTTCCTTTTAGGAGAACTTAAAGAGATTAAACAAGATATTTCCAGTCTCCGCTACGAACTCTTAGAGGAAAAGTCACAAGCTACTGGCGAGCTGGCAAGACTAATACAGCAGCTGAGCGACAAATTTGGGAAGAACTTAAATAAGGACATTTGATGGTGAACATAGAAAAAGGCAACAGGTTGTCTAAACATTATTCAATCTCAACCAGCATCTTAGGAGGGCAAAAACCATGCAAAAGATGGGTAATGCACACTCAGCTTTTGCTCACTAGCAAGTCTTGGTAGGAGCACGTTGTGTTACTGCTGTGCTTGGTGAGCTACCAGTTAAAGCTTTTATGATGCAAAAGTGACTTACTGGTAAAAATATACGCCCTTTGACATCAGAAATAGATGCACCATAGGGAAGGCACCTCTAGTTAAAGGCAAAAAAAGCCAGATCTTCACCCATCTGACTCCAGTGAAGACAATGCAACCGGGCTCGTTTATACCAATAGAGACTGTACTGGTCAGAATTGGGTGAAGCCTGAAGAAAAAATGTGCCAAGTATATTCCTTACAAAAATTTTTAAAATTCCTATCCTTGGGTGTGTATTCTCCTTTTATGTTTACACAGGCATCCATGAAGATAACTTTGCACAGCACTGTGTTTAATGGGTTAATAAGCAAATGAGAAATCATCTGCTGAAATGACTGAGGGAAAGGGTGGCAGGTAGAGGTCACCTACCTTTTAGACTGTATGACAGCGTCGGAAAAAATGAACCAAGCTTGTTGGGTAAAGCATCCATCTGCTAGAACCTGATAAAGGGATTCCCAGCCAAAAACTCCTCTCCGCCTTTTCCAGCTCTATTAGCTAGTCCACTAGTGGATACGGTCTCTTTGTACACACCTAGCCTCTCTTTTGTCCTCAGATAATCCCAGCTTCAACAATGGCCTACTGAAATATTCATAATGATGCGAAACTCACTTCCCAGGAATGCCCAGAAATAACATATATTGTGCTAATGGGTTCAAAGAACAACATTAATCCGGCGACAGCGACGCAACAGAGCTCAGCTTTTGGATTCCAGAGGTAAAAGAGCGAGCCATAGGGTGAGATAAATCACAGAGAGCACAGCCCAGTAGTTTCACACCTTAAAATCAGGACAAAAAGGTTTCAATTCCACTGAGAACATTCTGACAAATAAAAAAAAAAGGAAAAATGGTTGTCAAAATTACTTATGTGTTTGGCTCTCACAGAGGACCAGGAAGGGATTAAAACTGTTTTAAAGGCTGCACTTTTATGACTGGGAAGTGGTGAATCTGCACGACACAAGTACAGACTTGGATTGCTTGGGCTTTTATGTTTGGCTCCATGATTTCAACTACTTAAAGCACACCTTACTACTTGGGAACCACTGAACTGTACTGTTTGTTTACAAGAGACACCTGTAAGATGGACATTACATTTAGGCGTCAGCTGAGAAAAACAAGCAGAACCAGAAGGTGACCTGTGATCAGTTCTTAAGTGCCAGATGAGAATACAGATAGCCTAATAGAATAATAGTTATATTTGTACAAAAAAAAAAAAAAAAAAAAAAAAAAAAAAAAAAAGTGTACCGTACGTAGGTCTGTTTAGAGAAAAGCAAAATACTGTATTTTTACCTTTAATATGATTATCTTGTATACTGTAATATTTTTACCTAAAAATGGGAAAAGAAATAAAATTACCTCATAATATTTTGTTGTACACTGAGTGAAATATTTGCCTGATCTTTTGACTATCCAATACACGGATATTTGTTTTCTGTTTCCGCGATGTCTTAACAACGAAATCGTTCTATGAAGCAATTTCGCCATAGGAATTCCGAAGCCTGAAAGAGCCAAAACTTAAAACTAAAATAAAGGAAAAAAAACCTAAAATAAAAGGAATAAAACTAAGAGATCAAAGGTTCTGTGACCAAGTGTAGTCTGCAAAAATGACTCCTTATTTGTTTGTAAACATATCTTTATTAATGTCTTTGTAAAATTACCTTCTAAGAACAGAAATTCAGCTCGGCTGGCTTCAGACAAGCACAGCGTTGGTATTGAGTGTGCGGTCAAAATAAGTCAAATGAGTAACACCGATGTTTACAGGCTGTAAGACAACTGAAACAGCATTTGCCCCCGATACCCCGTCGGGGTCAGTGGTACTTTGCGGCGCTCCGGCACAGGGTAACATTTTCTACGAGGGAAATGCGTTGCTTCGCAAGACAGCGTGGTGATGAAACACTGAAATGTCCGTGTTCAACAAGGAGGATCAAATGCCGGTGTAAGACAACTGACACTGCAGGTTACAAGATTTGCAAGAACGATAGCTCATTGCTTTGGGCTGTCTTCCACTATTTAAACCAGAAAATGCTGCTGATTTAAAATATTCAGTTTTCCTCGTAGGAAGAAGGAATATCTTTCATGGTAATACTGCTCTTTCCTCCTGACCCTTTCCAGCCACCGTGTAAAACTTTTTTTTCAATTTGGAAAACCAGCTCTGCTGCCACAGCACTGTCTTAAAAATTTCTTTCATTACAGCTCTACACCTGGCTCCTGGCTTCACCCTCCCTGTTCAGTGTTTTAGCATCCCCTAGGAATTTAAGCAGAATTATTCCAGGCAGAACATACAGTAACCACCATAATTTTGATTTCTTATGATACCACATGCCAAGTCGCATGAGAGATGTAAGTGGGAACGCTGTGATGTGCTTCCGTTTCGTACATTTAAATACAGCTCAACAAAAAGCCTGTCCTAAAGTCCGGCAGTGCCAACAGGAATGTTCTCCTACCGCTGAATATTGCAGTCGATGCAATAACAAATAACACCGTGCTGTGAATAGCTTTGCTGAATTATCCGGGCCCAGGCAGGGGTGTAGCTGTGCCCCATCAGCTACTGCCTGCTGCCCTAATAGCATCTCTATAAGCAAAGCAGTGCAGTCCTGCCACAGCGAGCCAGCGTGCAGCTCTGCGTTCAGGAATTTGCTATGAAAGAGCATAATAATTTTTAGGACTTCGAAAGTAGACTAAAAGATGTATAAAAAATAACCGTTAAAAAAATATAAAATATCTGCTTCCTCCTCTTTTGCATTTACATTCCAGGAACTATCAAGGCAGGAGACTTCTTGTATAAATATTCATGAGAAGCTAAATCCCACTTCATCAGAGCATTTTTCTCATCTGGTCCCAGGAACATACCCAAGGAAGCTGCACACTATGTATTAATGTGCTATCAGCAGAAATGATGCTAAATTCGTGGTTTATTCTCCAAGCTCTGTTTATAAGAAATTAAAATTAAGAAGCCTTACTAAAAGATCCAGGAGAGAAGTTAGAGGGTTTGAAGAGGAAAAATCAGAGTAGGTGGGTCCCAGACCCGAGAGGTGCAGGTCCCATCTCCCATCACTGGCGGGACCTCATGGCGGGTCAGTCTCACAGCAACCCGCCTGCTGAGTGAGATTGCATCCAGTCTGCAACAGCTCTCTTGGCTTTGAAATACGGGATTTAATATTTCTTGGACAAGTTCATACTACAAAGGAATGGCACTTTGCCCAAACTCTTTGTAGATACAGAATTATGACTTTTATGTCATACGTTAGAGAGGGGCCAGACAAAGATGAAACTAACCTGAAGTCATCCACACGAGTGTGAATATTCTCGGGAGATCAGCCTAATTCCGCGAACCCCGCAGGCCAATCAAGCTAGAATTTAAACAGACACCCTGAAGAAGATCAGAACAAAGCCATTAACTATCCAATCTTCTTTTATTGACTGCTCGAGTCTTCAGACAGTTGTTTCAGACCTTGCAAAGACCAGTCAGCTGCTGCTAACAGAAAGGGAGCAAACAGCAGAAAGCAGGAACGTGACTCCAAATAGCTGAACTGCCAGGTTTTAAGCTAGGAACCCCTGCTGACCAGAGGTGCAAATCCTGAAATAAAGGAGCTGCCTGAGGACATCTGGCATCACGCCTCTGTTTTCAGCAGCATGGGCTGGGCTTTGCAGCCCGCAGGGTGGAGGTGGTGGTTCTTAGGCAGTTTTGCTCTCACAGCTGGACTAATTCTGCTCGTAACTTCAGAGAACAACTAACGACGACTGTTCCCAGTGCCCACAAAACATGGTTTAAAAGTAAATAAGAAGCAAGAATGGTGTCATGAATAATAGCTTGGAAGAGTGCCTGCATTCTGACCAGCGCTCACAGCACATTAAACTGTCAGAGCTAGGCTTTATTTTTAATTAATCTACATGAGAAAAGCATTTCCAGCAGGCCAAAAGAAATTGCCCTAATTAAAAGATGTAAAAGATTAAGGATCACTCAGCAAGGACAAGCTGGGACACAGTCCGTCACCGCAAAGGCAGGAGACCCGAGCGGCGCGGACGGGGGTTTCAAACACATCTCCAGGTCTGAGCCGCCACCCTGGGCTGCAGGTGGGGAGGGAGGAGGCAGCACCCATCCTGCAGCCCAGCAGCACCCTGCTGCAGAGCACCTCTGCTGCCTCCCACAGCCCGGGCAGGAACCTGGCAAACAGGACTTTTCATTCCCAGTTTGGCTTGTGTTTGCTTTCCTGACTAACCAACATGTAGGGAAACGAGAGCCAGGACTTCATAGCCAAGGCTACCCGGAGCAGGATGGCTTTCAGATGGGGAGGATAGATGTTTCCTTTATCCAGATATTAAGAATACTTTCCTTGCGGCCTAGCCTGACCCCTAAAAGCAGCTCTGCTCTTGTTTTGGCCACAAATCCCTCACTGCTGCAGCGTCAGACGCTAGTCAGCAGGTCCCATTGCTCCCTTCTTCTTTCATTTGGTTCATGCCCATCATCTCACCTTGTCAGCGACTGGGCTATAAACCCTGCAGGTGGGAGACCTGATGCTGCACAAACTACGGCCTTAAGGAGCTTACATTTTTTAGTAAAAAAGGATAGACAGGGCGTAAGAGAAATAGCCCTAGCTTCCAATGAGGGAAGGATGATGCAGAGAAATTCAGGGATTTGCCTTAATGAGCTGGAAGTCGGGGACCAAAAATGGATCTATGGCTTCAATTCTTATCTGGGGCTATATATACTCATTAGTTTCATTCTCGCTTGCTTTCTGTCCTGCATCTTTGTAGGGCACGTCCTCAGGTATGAAGGATAAAATCTGCCAATGCTGAGTGCGAGCAGCACAAGAGCAACAATAGGAAAAAAGCATCATTGTCTCTGTTGTCATGGATCATTTTGGGGAAGTGATCCCCTCAATCTCTGGGAGGTTTTAATGGCTCTATATCAGTAATCAGATAAGTCTTCATACAGTTGAATATAAATAAAGCCTAATAGAAAGGGAGATAAAAACTAAAGGGGCAAAATAACTAGACTGGTTCTGGAATTTGTAATGCCTTTAATAGCAAGCGAAAGGGCACTCGTTTAAGGTCATTTGAGACAGATAATTAACACAAACCTGCAGTGTGATAAAGGGGATTTGGAAGGGCTTAAAAGGTTAATGAATAGCTGACGAGCTTGTTAATATATAACTAATGTTTACTATAATACAGACTAATATTTAATTCCCTTACTAATGATTAATTATTCTGCAGCAAGGGTTTAATTAGGGCTTACACAGCAGGAGCAGGGGGGGTGGATCTGGTGCTGAGATGAATTTCCACACGGCAGTTGCTGGCCCCGACTCCGGGCTCTCCTGCTCCCTGCGTGGGCACAGCTTTTCCCGGGAAGAGGATGCTGACCCGAGATCTTCCTTAGGATGAAGGTCGTTCTCTTGTGCATCCAAATGGGTGGGCACACAGACTCTGCAACAAGTTGCTTTTGAAAACATCCCAAAGGGAAACTTCTCCCCGTAGGCCAGCGGCTGACAGCATCGTGCACTGCAGCCGTGTTCTCCCCTCAGAGAAGATCTCCCAGTCTCCTTATACTGGTATCCAGCATCACTTCTGGTCGCTAGGATTGTGGGACAGGGGTTGTGATAACTTGCTTCAAGGTTTTCGTTTGAAAATGAGAGCTTCTACCGAATTAAAAAGCTGATTTTGCGCAAAAGTGTTTTCTGTATGAAAATGTGCTCTGGGGCAAATTTGCATGATGATCCCCAAGCACAAATAACAGAAGTGCATTCATCCTCTAAGAAGAAGTTGTTGGGCACGTGCATTTAGAAACACCACTGGCAGATTTTATCAGTCATACCTGCAGCCAGCCAGGACAGACAGACAACCCTCCAGCAAGCTACTCTGAAGACCACACTCCTCATCCCAACTCTGCATTTGCAGCCGGGCAGGTGAGCTCACAGATTCCACAGTGACACCATATCCATGTCACAGCTCTCAGGGTCATCAAACCTGAAGCCTGTTGAAGTAACACTTCAACTAAAGAGAAGTCACCGATTTCATTCAAGGGGCAGTTACTAAGCACATTTAAGGCCATGACTTCAGCTCATGGGTTTCTGGAAGTATCTGATTTCCTATAACAAAGCAACGTTATTGAGATTAAAGTACAACAAAGAACAAAATAGATACCTCATCAGAAGCACTACTCACTGCAGAGTAAAAACACACAACTTGAAGGAGATTTTTGTACTTCCTAAAGACTCTCAAGCATGTGTTGTGTACCTAATAGCACCTAACTCGGTCCCTGCTGCCATCTAGCCATTACACCAGAACACATTTTTCTTGATGCTGCACAGCCACCACCTCTGCTGTGATAGGGATCGGCGTGGGAA